GACAGTAGAAACATAACCAAATTAGCATAAAAAATGAATAATCTAGCACTCTTCATTTTAGATGAAAAGATTTTTCATACTGCATTGAATTTGTAGAAAACTTGTGAAAGGCTTGAATAAAGTTATTCAAACAAATTTAAAGGACTTTTCAGACTAACTTGAATATTATAGAGTTTGGCTGATTGCAATCTCCAGAAAATTCAGATGCTCTTTATGCTATATCAATGATCAAAGGAAGGTCACTGTGACTGATCAGAAACTAATCAAAGGGTGAAATCCTCTAAATCATGTCTTGTCACAATCTAACCAACATGAAAGAACTATCAGGCTGATATGGAATTGGTTTCTAAGACAGAAAGTTAATGAATGTTTTGCCGACCAAGATCCCTACAAATGCTTTAATGATGCATACAATTTTAGATTAGGCTATCATTACTTGGCCAGAGCATGAGAGCTTGTTTCTGTTTTATTTGTGTTTTCAAGAAAACATCTGAAAATAACAGTCATCTTGAATCAGTCTTCAATGTATTTGAAAAAAAGGTTGATCTATGTGACCTACATAAGAGAACTTTTACAATTTGAAGGATCACTCTCTTGTCATAAGCATGTAAAGGTTACATAAGACTTTTTATTCTATGTCAGAATATACATAAATGTTACAAAAGCAACAATGAAAGAAACAGTCACATTGTAATTGTGAGGATCATATCTACCAGATAGTTCCAAGAAACAAATATATTTCACAAGATAACAACTTAGTCATTTAGATTCAAAAGATCTTTTCAAACCTCTTTAAACTGGATTATCCAATCCAGAAACTCACAAATATCACCTTCCACCAAAACCAGAAATGATTCTGAGCACCATAATCATCAGCTACAATATCAGAAATATTAGGTCTAGGTAGTAGAACATTACGTACTTACTATACTATTACCAGGAAACCTATGGTATATATCTAAGATAACATATCAACAATAAATAATTTATCAATCTGGCTTGTTTTCTACAATGTAAAGCTTAGAATTTACTGTATAGATTTCATATTACTATATAAGACCTTGGAATACTAATTTAAGTGTGTCAAAGCATCTTTTATATTTGAATAAATATCATTGTAATCAACTTACGGAATAAACTAAATAAAAGGTTCCAAAATTCAAAACAAATACTTTTCAAACTTTGTAAAGAAATCAAATAATGATTTATAAAAATTAAGGGAACCATATCAACTTCAACTTGACCCTTAAACTAAGATAACTTACTAACCTATTTCTTACATCATAATAATAACCTATAACATCTTACTACGTCCTAGTTCAACAATCCAATATTCCAATATAGGTATTAATCATCACTGACTAACACTTCCTACAGATAACAACAATCACAAAACATTATGTCACTGATCAACGTATACCACTTCCAGCAATATCCCAATACAAAGCCATCACCAACTCACATCTAAACACACTGTGGCACCGATTCCTCAATAAAATCTTATTATAGTAACTAGCCGGAACCGATTCTGTGTTACATTGATAAGAACATTGATAATCAACATAGTTAGCTAGTCATTCGTAAAATCTATAGAAGACATCATTGAACTTTCACCTCTCACCAGTCAAAATACCCCGGTTCAATCACTGTATTCATCCCATAAAACGTACCATAATTCATGAACTTCCACTTGGACTTCACTAGCAGCACCGGTTTCTAGTAAAATTTTACTACAGACAGTACGACGCCAATCAGTTTCCTGTTACCATGTTAATAATAGATAGTTGAAGAGTAAAACGATTCCATAGAAAACTCTATAGTAATGTGTATTGATTTTCAACCATGCTGCCAACAAGCCTACTGCCTCAATTTCAAATTCCAGTTAACTGAATGAATAACAATGTGACCTAACATTTCTTAATATAACCAATCAGCTTCATTGATTGTATTATTATATTATGTCTAAATCAAATACCAGCAATTCATATTTTATATAAAATACACAAAAAACATAACAGACAATTACTGCTAGTCTTGTTTATTTCAAATTGTGAACCATTATCATTGTTATTTCCACTTTTTTTCTTTACAAGATTTGACTTTTGCTATCGGCCTTAAATTTGTCAACTCGCAGCGAAATGAATTTGACTAGATAGAAATACATTAATGTTCATTTTTCATGTAGAAAAATATTTTTCATATATTACATATTTTCAGTAAAAAAGTCAAATGGAACTTCCTTATATAAATGGTGAGACAGTTCCATTATGGGTTGAAATTAGAGTGATAAATTATTAACTTTAAAAATGTGTATTTTGGATGGATTGTAGATGGAAAAATAGGTTCAAACTCTTGTTTCATTTTGTTAACCATCTCCCAAATCAGTATGCAGGTATTCAAATAATTTCATCTCTAAAAGAGCCAAACTGAGCTAAAAATCCCCTGTTTGTCATGTTAAGCTGACTGGAACAACAAAATTGTTTTGTCAAAATTATGTCATTCTGAACATAGACACCTCTATGGAATCCACTTCTCGAACTGATTGATATCGTGCCCACTTTAATTGGTCTTTATGACACTTACTGCTTCTTAATGATGTCACAGCTGTCATACCTTGTAGTCTCTGATATTTTGGGGCACAGATTTTGCCATGGATATCTGATACAATGGCAATATTCTTGTGATCTTTGTAAAACCACAATGTATAATATTAGTTGTTGAAACCAGGCTGACTCTGTGGAGTATTCAAACTCACATGAAATAATGCCCAGCAGTCAACAATTCATCTCACTACCAACTAAATAACTATCACAAAGATAGGCCAGTGCTTTCATTGAGACTCGTCTCAATACACCCTAACACAAAGATACTTGTTTGAACTACTGTCCAGTTTATTAAAAGTTAACTACCCTGTTTAAAGAAAGATTATATTTTTTCATGTGTTCTAAAAAAATTCAAAACATTATAATCTTATTGAAATATAATTTCTTAAAATACTCAAAAAATATCAAATAGGATCTGTGTCACATATTGGTGTATTTTGGCAATCATAGCTTTTACATTGGGATAATTTAAAAAAAACTGTGTTAAAGGTCATGGTTTGCCACATTCAGGGCCAATTTCAGTCTAGAATATATGACTATATGAATAGTCTCCAGAAGTATGAGAAATGAATGAAAATCGCATAATTCATTCAATTATTTCTATACATGGTGGGGTTTAGAAAAAAGCTTATATAGAATACTTCTAGACACACATTGTAATGTTTATAAACACAATCCAGAGCAGTGCTTCTCAACAGGGGAGGAATTAGAAGATCATGGGGAGGAATTGTCAGATCATGGGGAGGAATTGTCAGATCATGGGGAGAATTGTCAGATCATTGGGAGGAATTGTCAGATCATGGGGAGGAATTAGAAGATCGTGGGAAGGAATTGTCAAATAAGGGAAGAAATGGGAGGCAGGGTGATATATGACAGAACTCAACCTCATTCAGCCTGCAAATACAGAAAATCATTAATGAACATTCGGGCTAAGGGTCACATTGAACTTATTTAGATATTTGGAGTATGATTTGATATCCATTCATGGTTAATTGCTGAATACATTTTTCGAGTGAAATGAGTTTAAAAATGACTTATTTATTTTTGGGAGTAATAAATTTGGAAAAACTCTTCCAGGGAGGAATGTTATCACTGAGGTTGAGAAGCACTGACCAAGAGATTTAGGTAAAAAGCTTGTTCTACTAAAATCCCTGAGTATAGTTTGAGTACGATAGAATGAAAGGAGAGATTGAGATCAGAACACTAGTTATTTTTTTTTTGCATTTGGAATTGGAAGAAAAAAAAAGCTATTGTGATCATCAATAAATTTCAATAAATTTTCTCTGTTTTATTCTATAGTTAAGAAATACCATCAGTTTAATTGTAAATACTGTAAGTACCTTAAAACAAATAGCCACAATGGAGGGTGTTTCATCAGTCTATGCTATTGGGTGTGGTTTAGAAAATTAATTCTGTTTCTATCTATTCTCTCTTACTTTTAAGGCACTAGGCCTACAGTAACTGTACGATGTGATGGTTTCTGCATCACATTTTGGTTAATCATGTTTTTAATAATAGAAATACTCCAAAATAGTAACTTTGAGTTGATAAGAGTTTAAAGCCACAAGAAAATTATTATTTTAAGAATTTATTTTACAGAAAGGAATTTTCGGTTTAAAGGTAATGTCATTTGAAAAATCACATGTTATTTCTGAACAGGAGGTGTAAAAGTTCTATGACCCAAAAGATATTCTAAGATTTTATTTTAAATTTTTGTGAATTGATACAGTAGTTCGATTCAGGAATCCCAGATCGGAAGAGTAAAACTTAATGTTTGTTCAGAACTATTATCAAGCTAATGTGCTTCAATTGAATCAAAAGTTTTGTGTGAGTGTGACAGCTCCATAACATTCACTGGTATCATAGATATTATAAAAGTATATTGCATAAACAATAGAATCTAACTGATCCACAGAGAACACAATTCTAGGAGCCATACAGGTACTGAGTGTGCCTAACTTGAATCATCATGCTTTGTTTGGCAAAGCTTATAGGCTACTGGAGTACTGGTAGTGGTTGGCTACAAGAAGAGATTGCCAAACATTTTGTGCTTAATGAGCCATAGAGTTAATTAATTATCTGATTAAATCTGACCTATGTTTACATAAGTAATAGATTGATACGTGGACAACTGTTTACCTTCAACTCTAGCCCACTTAAAAATATTCACACTTGAAAATTAGAAATCTCACCTGAATTTTAATCAATATGTTGCAAAGTGAACATAAATCAACTTACCGTTATTGGAACCACGAACGTTAAAATACTGGCGTGGACACCACAAATAAATCCTGACTCACGTTGAGTAAAGATTGAGGAATTTGATCGTAAACATCATCAATTTACCTGTTCAGGTAAATATTAATGGGAAATAACTCGCGTTTGTTATTACCGGAAGTTTCTTCAGACATTTTGTTGTCAAGGCCGCTGATCAAGTTTTATTCTGTTTATTTCACTTTTCTAGTCGATTAGTCCTGAAGAAAGTAGCCTACATAATTTCAAGATGACTGAAGTTGAAGAACAAGTTAACAATACTTACATCATCCGACCGAATTTTCAACACAAGTAAGATTTATATTAGATAGTTTCTGTCATTTCCACAGTCCACTGGCACTGAGAATGTAACTTCCACTCTTCTACTAGTTCTCTAGTTCAGTTCTGATTTCATCTGACGTCGTCCTTTGATGTCAGAGTCTGACATTAAGTGTCGCTTCAAAATTTTCTGAGTTGTGTGGAACTGATTTTGATTAAGGTTCCTTAACTTAAGTACATTCTGCAAGATCCCCCATAATTTCAAATAAGTAGTAGTAGGATCAAAATGAAAGTGTGATACCATAGCCTACTGTCACTAGATCTACACTACTCTACTGTATGTGTTTGCCTTCCTAAAATGGTAACTTACATTTAGTTATGTTTAGGCCTAAATCAAATTTTACTCATAAGTTAGGGAAGAGTTGGTATTTATATACAAGTTTATAGAATGTATTTGTGTTATGAGATATTTTCGGTTAGAGTGTGAAATTTAATATGTTTTGCAAAAGTTTGGTCAAAATATTATCGCTGAGCTTATTAGGTTTTCTGCTTTGATTTTCAATTATCAAAAACCAAAGATTTTTAACCAGTAATTTACAACCTACCGGTATTAGTATTACTGGGAAGAAATTACTACAGTCTGTAGGGCCTAAGCTTATGGAATGTTTTTTTTCATACTTCATAATGATGACTTTGATAATAATAATAACTTTATTTTGGCAACTAGGTCTTGGTAAAATAAACTAAATTATCGATTATCATAGCTATGAATTGATAATTTCAATTATAGATTATCAAATGATTGATTATAAGTTACATTTTCTCAACTGTCCCTGTTAACAATCTAAGTAGTAATCTCAATAAGCTATAACTGATCAAAGCAAGAATATACTCTATGACACAAAAATAACCCATGGAATTAAAAATTTGGCATGTTTTTGATTGAATATTTGCATGGTTTATCAATTGAAATATTTCGATTATCAACAGATTATTGATCAGTAGCATACAGATTGCCAATCAAGTCGCTGATGACCTGGATTCACTGATGGCCCTTAGGAAAATGGCAGAGAAAAAATTTCATAATTTTCACTTGTTGTCGATTAATTAAAAGTTTGCAATATATAATTATAACTAGGTGTTGACTTTAATTGCTCTAATGTGGATATGTTGTTCTATGCGTGAAGTGCAAATTTGGTTGATTTCATTCCTCAGTAAGTTCATAATTTGACCATAAATCTTGTCTGCACTGTGTAGACAAAGTTTGCTACAAACATAGTGTAGGATCAAAGTAAACGGTGGGGTAAGCTATCAATGTTTACGATTTAAACTTCATAAAATATATATACAATGTAACATGGATGAGGTAAGAAATATAGAAATGTAAACACTGTTTCTAAGATGATATCAATTATTATTTTTAAAAAAAGCCCAATTTGTTCTGGCTGAGTTTTTTGAAGCTCTTTCAATGTTGGTAAAGATTTGACTTTGGATCAAGTTTTCTGATAGAAAACCCTTTGAAAAAAAATTAAATTTTGTACCTTTGACATAATTTTTAACCTTATTCTCTAGTTCATAGAGCTGCAATTTTCAGTGGTTTACTTAGACAGTAAATTTTGGGTCATGACATAAATAAGCGTGTGTGAAAAACTTCTTGTAGAAATGCAGCATGATCAAATAGATTCTATAATATAGGTAGGATGACTGAAAACTGAAATCTCTTAAACATTCTAAAACACTACTTGTAATTGGATAATAACTTACTCTGTTGCTGTCTTGTTTGAACACCAAAATTCTCATAGTGACAAATTTACTTGTAGTCATTTTGGAAGTGTATTATTCTAGTATGCTTCTACTGGTATTAAAAGTAATTTCTCTTTTCTGGTGCCAATTTAAGTGTGATGATAAGTTTTTGAAAAGCCATTATACTATACTGTACTATATAATTTTGACTAATAAAAATGAAGTTATAACCTGAGAAATTTCCACATGAATGATTTGATTAGTCTAATTTTGACAGATATCATCAGTTTTATGTGTTGACTCCTTAAAAAGTTTATATTAAGTATGAAAGTTTTTTAGAATTTGGCGTAAAAGGTTATGTGATGAAACAGTTAAAAAAGATTTTGAATAATGAAAGCCTAAAAAGGGTTAATTTTTTTTTGGAATTCAATTGATTTAAGCTAACTAAATGATTTTATGCTGTGTGTATATATTGTTATTAATATTACAATTTGTGGAAATTTTAGTTTAAGGATAAATTGGCATTATTATTTTTTGTTCACAAATAGTTTTTAGGATATTGTGGCATTTTAAAAGAGCTTCATTAATATTATTATTTGTAGTAATTATGTTAATTGTTTATTATTAGGATTTATCTTTCATAAAATCTTTGCAGTTTAATATGTTTGAAGGAATACTAAAAGTGACATTAATGTTTCATTTGGAATTTTGTTTACTTTTTAACCTGTGAATTCCAGTATCAGTAGCCTATACAAAGTAATTGTTTTGAAGTGTATTGTTATGGTAATGTAATATATTATGATGGCCTAGAATAACCTGAATGATTATTATTGATTGGAGTGAGTTATTTATGACAGGAACAACAGTGAATTGAATTCTGGTCTAGGTATTGATTCAGCTGGCTTGTTATGTTTTGACTTTAGCATTTGTTGGATTATTTATTAAGTAAATTGTTACTTTTTGGCTTAAAATCCTATGAAAATTTGATAATTTTGTGATTCATGCAACAGTAGAATAGTAAAATTTGATGTTGATTATTATTTTACACTGTCATATTAAAACTAAGTATAACTGGAGAGAGATTGTGTGGTCAATGCTAACGCTACCCTCAGTGCTGGGATTGATAGGTACTGATTCACAATATTTAGATGTATGAAATATAACAATGTTTAAAGTGTAAGTGTTTGTTACTAGCTACATACTAATAACATGTACTGGAACTAGAAAAAATTTATGACAGATTTACTACTACTATACAGTTGTAGATCAAACGGGATAATATCCTTGATTAAATTTTACTGAAAAATTATATAAAAATTAGGTATTTTAATCTGATTTCACATCTACTTTAATGTCTTTAAAAATTTGTTGCAGAAATTATTCTACAAAGTAATCTTATCTGATATTTTTGTTTTTTGTAGATTTCGACCAGCAATAGTTAAAGAAACAATTCATTCAGTATTAACTGAATTTTTAGCTGATAAAACTTACAGTGCAGATGACACCACAGACTGGACAAAAACTATCTCTGATACTATTAAACAGAAATTAAAAGGTTAGTTGTAAGCACAAGTTTGAATTTTAACAATGATCCTAGGATCTTCACCAGTATATTGACCTATTTAAGATAAGTGTTGTGTCTCAGTGAGGACAGAGCTTGATATTTAACAACATGTGTTGAATATTTAAAGATTTCATTTCATTTTTAACTCAAGTTGATATCTGGTCATCTTTACGTTTTACTATGTTTTAATAATGTATTTTGTATAGATTTGGGATATGATAGATATAAGTTTTTAGTACAAGTAGTTATTGGTGAACAGAGAGGAGAGGGAGTCAAGTAAGTATATTGAGTATATTGTTATAGTTCAATAATATAGAACTTTTATACACTCAAAGCACTTCTATGTTCAAAGCTTATAAGCTGTTTTCTTATTTGATATGTATTTGGAACAGTTATGTTTCTACTTGCATGTTCAAATTTCTGTAATATCAAAAGTATTTGAATAGGTTACAACATCACTGAAGCACAAACAAATGGTATTCTGAATGATATGGGAGATCAGCATGGTTCAAATAGAAGCTTTAAGTGTCCTCAAAACACAAAACAGAGTCTAGAAAGCAAAGTCCTGTTGAATCTTGGATCTTGTATGCTGTCTCAGGAAACAATTTATACCAATAACAATTCCTGAATTCAGATGATCAGCAATGTTCTGAAGGCATATTGTTAAAGTGATATGTTGATGATAATTGCTGCCAATATGATTCCTTGAATTGTGTTCAAGATACAAATTATAAACTGTTAATTTGTTTTATTTAGAATGGCTTGTAGATGTTTTTGGGATTCTGATACAGATAATTTTGCTCAAGATGTATTTATAAATGTAAGTAATATGTTTTAATATTACAGAGACAAGTTAATATCATTGATAGTGACATACTAGCAATATATTATAATTTGTGAAGCTGTGTTGTAAAAGTAGTATTATCCCATGATGTTTTCAATGAGACAATGTATGGACATATTAGATTACTGGACTTAATGTATTATTTCTACTGCTGTTATAAATTGTGGAACCCACTTATTCATTGTAATCTTAGGCATTGTTAATTTTTTTATATATAACTAGACGATGCAAAACATTGCAATTTGACCTAGTATTATCCCTAGATGAACTAAATGTGCAATTTTCACTTTCTTGTTTATTTCACAGCCTGTTTTTATAAAGCTTTTAACAATTTCCTAATATTTAAATTTTTTTTTCTACTTTTTCAGGATTCTTTGTTCTGTGTTGCTGCAGCTTTTGGTGTGTTTTATTATTAGAAACAAATTTGATTGAATTCAAACTGTGATATTTATTGTGAAAAGAAAAAGATGCAAAGAACATAATTAAAACTGAAAACTTTTGAATTGAGTCGAAGGGAATGTGTGTTGATATGCAGTGAGAACCATCATCAGTTCCAGAGAATAATTTGTTGAAAAATAAACACTTATCATCCTCATGTTTTAAAGCCTTCACATGATGTGAATCATCTTTAGCACTAGTTTCTTTTGATGATTACGAAACATGTTCATGGATTTCATAAAGAGTTTATATTAGATATATTTTAGTTGTTAGGTGTCAAGGCTAGTATTTTAGCTGTATTGATGTTTCACTTCCAGTGTTGACTTTCCTGTTAATGGATATTTGTAATCAAAATAAATTGTATATTTAGTATGTTGTATACTGTGTCTTGAACTCAAATAATAACACTATATCATTGATAAAACACACATTTTTATACACCCACATCTCTCTATGTGGACATATATTGTCGGCACCCCTGTCAGTCCGTTTGTCCGTCCGTCAACATTTGCTTGTAAACGCTCTAAAAACTAGAGTTTTTGATGGAATCAAATGAAATTCAGTATGTGTATACACGAAGATCAAGTTTGAATTGGAGCTATTTTCCACCGTTAGAAGCAGAGTTATTGCCCTTGCCCCAAAATCTTGAATATGCTATTACTCTCTTAGTTTTCAACCGATTTTGATGAAACTTAAAATGGATGTTATTGGACCTAAATCGAAAGGTTTGAGAAATTTTAGTTTACTTCTGATTAAATTTAAGGCTTTTTCAAGATTTAGGCCTCTTACGTCAGTTTTAAGGAGTTATTGCCCTTTTACCTCTATACAGTAAGTGCTTCTATCAACATCAATTGCTCGTATATACTCCGTTCGTCGGTCTGTCCGCCCGTCAACATTTGCTTGTAAACACTCTAAAAACTAGATTTTTTGATGGAATCAAATGAAATTCGGTACGTATAGACATATTCATAAACGAAGATCAAGTTCGAATTTGAGCTATTTTCGACCGTTACAAGCAGAGTTATTGCCCTTGCCCCAAAATCTTGAATATTTACCTCATGCCACGGTGGGCGTATATGGCTGTAGTCCACTATCTTTAATTTGTTATGCCTGTCATTTTTCATTGTAATTTCACATTGACAATATATTAAAACGATATTTTCATTTCAGTTTGTCTTTTTATTCATTTATGATCATATGTTTGCATGTTCATAAGAATTTGCGTATTTAAGCAGATTTTTCTTACGCTAACCTATGTACCCTGAAGGTCACATATCCCAACATATCTGAGACTACTTGATTAGCTTACGTGATATATGGATGAGAGCAGGGGCGCAGATCGCTTTTTCAATGCGGGGAATTCATTGCAGAGTATAGCGGCATGAAAACGTTTCAGTTGAACTGGTGGTGTTAATTTTCACTAAGGAATAAATAGTTAAAAACCTTGAATTTTCACAATTTTCGATTAAATTCGCACATTTGGGTTGATCAAATATAGGTACATAAAAGTAAATAGAATATTTTAGAAATCTTTTCACTTTCAATTGACAACGTTTTAATTACCGGTATGCAAATTTACATACTGCCCTTTTAAGAAAATAATGATAAAAAACACACTAATTTACATGGTGATCTGTAAAACATATTGTCCAATCTCATACTGTTTATTATGTTACATACAATCAGAAGTGAAAATGTACAAACTGCCTAGAATTTCACACTTAAATAGCCATTTAATGAAATTTGAAGAACATCATTATATAAAATCTTCGGGCGATATGACGCGAGGGCGAAATGACATTGGTTTTAGAACGGGCTGGATAATAGAACTGAGGGAATACCCTTGATCACGTGACAACTCCACAGACGAGAAATTCCCGCCAGCGTCTATGTTTTAGTAAGTGAAAATTCAGATATTTTTGTTTTGATTGTGATTTATTGCAGTTTATCGAATGCAATAACAGAATAATTGTATTTTCCTTCAAATGCTGGTGCGATCTAGATTGAATTAAATTCTAAAATGGATTTTATTCATGTTGTTGGCATCAACTCCTTGATAATTGAATCAAAATGGCCGCCATTCCAAATCAAAACAAAAGATAAAATGGGATCTAAATTCTATTCGGCCGAATGACATCTGATAAATTTCTCCGTGATAATTTGTATACTTGATCAGTAATTTACATCAAAGTTATTATTATCTAGAAGCGGTTAACTGGTCTAGAAGCTGTTACCGCCTACCAAAGACTGAATTCAGTATTTAATAGTGATTAATTCAGGACTTTTACTTTCAGACTACATTAAGCTTTGAATTGAATTTTTTCTCCATTTCACATATATTTAAAATTTTCAACTGTATACCATTTGTCTTAGAATGACTTTGGGTCCATAGAAATATGAGGTTCAATGATTTTATATTTAAAATAGAAACACTTCCCTTCCAGAAAATTCATGTGAAAATGACCCACTTATCGGACTGAATATTTAAAAATCATAATAGGGATGATCTCAACTTAGACTCTAATATTGATTAAGTTTTATTTAATTTCTTTTTTCTTGTTTAGAATAAGATAGTTTGAAATGCCTGCTCCAAGAAGGAAGGCAGCTGCTAAAAAACGTGACTATGAAGAATCTGTAGACAATTCATCAGAAAATTTGGAATTGACGTCAGATGGATTTTTGTAAGTATTGAAATTTGTGCTGTACATTTTTTATAGGAGGAATATTCTGAATTCAGTATCTGTAAGTTCAATGATAGATAGGCGTACAAATTTCTCAACTGTGATTGGGAATTCAGCATCTTCTAGATAAGTAGATCTTGTAAATTAGTTATATTATGAACATCAGTAATACCAGTAATCTTAACTTGCTCCAAATCTCCTATTTTTTCTTTTAGACCTGAAGCAGAATCTGATAATGAATTTGAAGAACCAAAAGCTAAGACAAAGAAAGGTGGAAAAAAAGAAACTGCGGTAATTTCTCAAACACTATGTTAATATTAATTTAAAATGATACCGGTATATGATAAGCTATATTTATGTTTTGTGTGACATTTTCTGAAGTTCATCATATCATAAAGTGAACATAATAATAAAGAAGTAGATTAAGCTGTAGAATATGGTACTTTCTCCTTGTTGCGTATTTAAAAAGTGCTCCTGTAACAAATACTGTCACTTATTATCATAGAATAATGACAGGATCGCTCTTATTTTGTCCTTCATTTGAAATGTTTTTATTTTAGAAGCGAAAGAAGATAGATAATGCTAAAAAGAAAGCAGAAGAAGAATTTGAAGGGGATGGAAGTTTGTTTGATATTGTGAGACTAGGTCGTGCATCATTACAGGTAGATTTTCAAAATAGTTTGCTACAAAATATTGAATCTGTTTGACTTCTTCTTTTTTGCATTATAAGTGAATATGGTTTATTATTCTACTTCATGCGACTTCTGAAAACATATTGTGATTGTGGCTCGTGTTTTGTTTTTTAGGCTGTAGTAGATGATTGGATAGAGACCTATAAAGCTAATAGAGATACAGCCCTATTAGAATTGATTCAGTTTTTTATACAATGTTCTGGTTGTAAAGGAAAGATTACACCTTATATGTATGGTAACATGGAACATGCGGAAATTATCAGAAAAATGACTGAAGAATTTGATGAAGTAAGTATTGTTCGTGGTTGTGAATATGACTTCAAGGCAGTTTGTAACACCTGCGACAAAGTATCTATCTTGCTACAAAAGTATCAGTTTCTTTTTGTGAAATAACTTTATATGGAACCGAAAAGTAGATCCTGTTCCAAGCAACATCTATATATGTTAAAGACACCTCCTAAAATAAAGGAATAAACAAATTTGTTTCTGGAATATAAGAAAAATAAAATGATAAACCTTTTATTTAGGAAAGTGGTGATTATCCATTTATCAGTAGTGGACCACAGTGGAAGAAATTTAAAACTAATTTCTGTGAATTTGTACAAGTATTGGTGCGACAGTGTCAATATAGTATCATTTATGATCAATATATGATGGACAATATTATCTCATTATTAACTGGTCTCACTGATTCACAAGTACGAGCTTTTAGACACACTAGTACTATGGCTGGTAAGTATATTGAATTGGTTAATTTTATGTCTGTATCTGTTGTTTTAGCGAATAGCCCTATCTTCAGGATTTTAAATCTATTGGTGAATGAAAGACACATATATTACAACTCAGCCAAAATGTCATAAGCGAGTGGTTTAAGGCTTCGCAAATAGGCTTGTCTTGGATTATTATTTTTCTTTCAACAGGGTAATGTATGCTATGTTGGATCATTCAAATAGTGTATTAATAATGTGTTAATAAAATAGTTAATGTATGAATTATTGATTATCTTGGTTTTTTTTTTCAGCTATGAAGTTAATGACAGCTCTAGTAGATGTAGCTTTAAATCTGAGTATTAACTTAGATAATACACAGAGACAGTATGAAGCTGAAAGAGCTAAACAACAAAATAAACGAGCTAGTGAAAGATTAGAATTATTGATGACTAAAAGACAAGAGGTAAGTTCTTATAACTCTTCTAAGACACTCTTTCATGATGAGCAACATGATGGTCTATTAGTCTCGAAAGCTGATTCTGAAGCCGACAATCAAGTTACACTAATGAAATATTTAAACTGCAAAATATTGTTCAATACATCAATTGTAGAGTGATATAGAAATATTAAAACAGAACTTATGAGTTATATATATAAACTTATATTATAATTATAGCTGGAAGAGAATCAAGCTGAAATTAGAAACATGTTGACCTATATATTTAAAGGTGTATTTGTCCATAGATACAGGTAATGTTTTATTTTAAATTATTACTACTGATACTAACTTGTGTAGTGTGTTGCTCCAATATATAATATACTAAATCCTCTTCTGCTACAGGCTATGTGTCCTGATAGTTTGAAATTGAAATAGATTTGTCTTCATTGTACACTGTATGATGATGCTAATCTTCATTAGCCCGATTAGTGTAATGATAATGTTTTTTCACTAGTAATTTCATTTCATCAAAACCTAAATCATGTTTAGAATTAGAATCACTTGTGTTTAAAAACTGTTTATTTCTTGAATTTTAGAGATACACAGCCAGAGATCCGTAAGATATGTATGGGAGAAATTGGTGTTTGGATGAAAAAATACCCTAATATGTTTTTAGATGACAGTTATCTTAAATATGTTGGTTGGACCATGTATGATAAAGTAAGTATTTTAAACATATAAGAGGTTTCTAATCCATATTTTTACTGTCTACTTCCAATGTAGCAAATTTTACAATTACTTTTTGTTTTATTTTTTGCATAAGGGTATTGGGATATCATCATAAGTCTTATTTTGTGGTTGAACACCATATCTTTTGCCTATTATGATGTTGACCTGATTAATTATTGTGTATTTCTTTCTAGGGTGGTGATGTAAGATTATGTTGTTTAAAAACTCTCTCCCCATTATACTATTCTAATGACTTATCACCTAAATTAGAATTATTTACCAACAGATTCAAGGTATGTTATCTTAATGTTCCAGTATATTGAAAATATCTATTACATTTTATTGCAATTATTATTGCATGTTTAGCACACTTATATACCAGATTTTGGTAATTGTGGATTTATCTGACCACAGAATTTACAGTCTGTATAAAGTAAAAGTAAACTGAAGAATTTTTTCAGAGCTGATGGTTGAAAGATTGGTTGATATTTGGAATTAGACAATTATTATTGATATAATCTTTAACATTACAGGATAGAATAGTTGAGATGACATTAGATAAAGAATATGAAGTGGCAGTAGCTGCTGTTAAACTAGCCTGTAGTATCTTGAAGTAAGTTTTATTGTCCTATGCTTAAGACATGTTTATTGTAATTCTCCCACAAAAGTTGTTGTCTAAAATTGATCAATGATCAAGAAAAAGTAGCTTGACTTTCTTATTGTTCTATATTTTGATAATTATTCTATCTTCAGGTTCAGTGATAATGTATTGGCTGATAAAGATTGTGAAAATGTATATGAATTGGTCTATTCATCACATCGTCAAGTAGCTCAAGCTGCTGGTGATTTTCTCAATACCAAGTTATTTAGTCGAGATGAAGAGGAAAATAAACATCTCAAATCATTGAAAGGAAAGAAATTAAGTCCTAATACACCTTTAATTAGAGATCTAGTTCAATTCTTTATTGAAAGTGAGGTAAATGATATACTTTTTACATAATAGAAACATGTAAACATTTACTACTTGTCAAACTTCAGTCGAGACATATATACTGAAATAGATCAGTTGTCTGAGTAACAGCATGTTAACAATAATATGCTGAGACTTTCTTATGTGTCTTATTGTTTTTAAAATGTTTTTAGTTACATGAACATGGTGCCTATTTAGTGGACAGTTTGTGGGAAATCAATGAAATGATGAAGGATTGGGAATGTATGACAGATTTATTATTAGAAGATCCTTGTAAAGGAGAAGAGCGTAAGTGTGCAAATTATTGACCAGATTTTGAACTCATTGGCTATTGCTTCAAAGAATCTACTAATGAGTGCTACTGAAATGCAATATAATCATGGCAATTTTATACTGCAACATTCTTGAATGACCAAAAGAAGAGGCAGTTGCTATCAATTTTATACATGGAAGTAAAGAAAAGAGCATTTATTGCTAACCTTACTGTTCAATTCTCAGAGATTTAATATAAGGACAGGTTTTGTAACATTAGAAATAAGAAATAATATTTTCATCTTGAACAGCTTTTATTGTAGGAAAAAATCTCATCTCTTGTAAGTTTGGTTAGTTGAGCTTTTATTAGATATATAAATTTTTTTTTGAAGTTTCTATAGAATTTTTTTTTTGTGTCAAACAGCACTAGATGATCGTCAAGAAACCAGTTTAATAGAAATAATGGTATGTTGTGTTAAACAGGCTGCTACTGGTGAATCACCTGTTGGTAGAGGTCCTACTAATAAACGAGTAAGTAAGATTATGTGCTGTATATCAGAACTGATATCATAACTTGGCTTGAATAATAGAAAAATATCAAGAACTTGAAAAGAACCCTATTTAATTTATACCAAATCTTCTGGTAATAAATGATGTTTATCTGAAATGGATGCAAATTTTGCGTTAGTACTTGGGAGCATTTGACCATAGAGTATAAAAGATGATCAGAGAATATTTGAATTTATTGTAGTTAACAGCTAAAGAACAGAAACAAGTATCAGAAGATAAAACAAAATTAACAGAACATTTTATTGTTACATTACCACAATTACTTCTCAAGGTAAGGGTCATTTAAGAATTATAGTAAATCCTGTAAATTGATTAACAAAAAACCTTTTGCTGTTTAATAATAAACAAAACAAGTAATTAATTCAGTATTTTAACAATCTATTTTCAGTATTTGATGGATGCAGAGAAAGTAGCTAACTTATTACAAATTCCACAATATTTTGAATTAGAAATTTATACATCTAGTCGTCAAGAAAAGGTAAGGTAACTCTCATGTTCACGATTTTCAACGTGTTTAAAAGAAAAGTTTGACTCTACCTGATTAATAGTGGACTTCTGGAATTTACGTATCGACTTATTTTACAGTTTAACTATTTACTAGAATATCTTCTGTTTCAGCATTTAGATTCATTGTTACGTTATTTACATGAAATAGTTGAGAAACATACAGATACTGAGGTGAGCCAATATATATATTTGTGGAATTCTATTTCATTATGAAAACAATTTTAACCATAGTATATGTTATATATAAACCATTTTGTTAATTGAGTAATTATTATTTCTTAAAATTGTGTTGGAGAGATTCTAAAGGAGAGAATGATTATATTCTATCTTGTAGGTGTTAGAAGCAGCATCTAAGTGTTTTGAAGCATTATGTAATGAAGAATATGCTATAGCTGGTAAATGTGATGTAGCTAGAAAGACACTAATAGATAGTTTAGTTGTTAAATATAGAGAGGCTATGCAAGATTTCTTTACTGAAGGTGATGAGCCAGATGATGATGAAGCCTTTGCTCTATTGGCCAGTTTAAAACGTATCCATGCATTTTACTCGTAAGTATTAAGACTGTGTAAATGGAAGCTAGTGATATTGAAGTGCTAGTCTGGTGGTGGAATCCACATCTGCCTTGGGAACAAATATGTGGAATTGATGCATACTCTCTTATAGAGGTGTCCATTCTTGCATCAGGTGCTCTAAAGTTTAAGCTTTATTGCTTTGAGAGAAATCTCATTTAGTTGTTTGAATAGATAATGTATATTTCAGTTTCTCTCTTCTTTTGAAGGATCAGATTTTGATTGGTGGATAGTCATTGATTTTAAATTCGATGTTGACTCTGAATGTTGACGTGGAATTTGGTTACTAAAAGACACTGAATATGACTACTTATTTATCTGATTATTTCTAGGTGTCATGATTTAGGAAACTGGGATCTATGGGATGATTTGTTTCATATTATAAGATGTGCTAATGAGAATTCAGCTATTCCAGAAGAGGTGAGAAGTATGCGAATTTATCTCAATACATGAAATATACAACAAAATTATATTTTCTTTGTTGGAGCAGTTTGATTAGATTGTCAGGTCTTCTGGATGTTTGAAGTGTAATGTGTTTATTTATAGATTATAACAAGAGCTGTAGCATCATGTTCTAGTGCTTTATTATGGTATTTTAATAAAATAGATGATAAAAACCCTGATAAGGTAAGTGTAAGCTTACATTTCATTTTAAAATAAAAATTTTATTGTCGATGGGCTGCTGGAACAATCATAGGAGTACATAATGATGGACTATAATTCTGAACATTTTTGTATTAAATAGTTCATAATGTAACTTTATATAATAACAAATGTATCTGTAACTATATAACATAATGTATTAATAACTATATAACATATGTATCTATATTGTAGGATAAATTAAGATATATCAAGAAAAGATTAAATAATTTAATGAGACATTGTAGTAATCTTCTCTTACATCAATTAGATAAAGTTGTTGAAGAGGTAAGTAGTTTCTGTTGGCATAATTCTTCTCAGAAGTGATTGATTGTAATGGTATTTGAAAAGAATTAAAGCTGTTCTCCTGATCCATGTTTAATTGAATTCTAGCCCATAGAACCGTCATGAGAGCTCAAAGTATTTTGGATATATTTTTTATTCTAGGCCTATATTACTATTTGTGATCTGTTAATTGTGTTCAGTAAAAATCTATGTGATACCAATCCTGAATTAAAAACATTAGTATTTGAACCAGATAAGAACCTACAGAATGAACTAAGTAATTTTCTATCAGAGAAAGTTTTTGTTGAAGATGATGATGGTAAGTGAAGAGCTCATATCATGATTTTTTAATGCCATGAAATTGTTTTTGTTTAATTGATTCATTTTGGGGAGATAGCCCAGTCCATTCCTTGTGGATTAGACAAGAATTATTAAAAATAGTACTTGTACCACAAGTTATCTTTAAGGTATATACCAAATCAAATTTATATTAACTCATAATAGGTTACTTTCGATGTTTTTATCCATAAATTAATTGCTTTATCATGTTATGAACAAGTCTTTATGTTATTTTAAAAACAGAGGATGTAGATGAAAATGTTAAGATAGAAGAATTACATAAAAGAAGGAATTTTTTGGCTAGTTTCTGTAAATTAGTGGTGTTTAATGTTATCAATATCCGAACTGGTGCTAATATGTTTAAACATTATATGAAGGTTAGTAGTGATTTAAATTTTCTTCTATATTGCTTCAATTCATTCATAGATTTTTTGCCTCACAAATTGTGTTTTATTTTTAAATTGAAATTTTATTCCAAAGTAAGTCTTGGAATATGAATTCTGTACATGCTACTCTATAAATATCCGTAAAAATAATATAAATTGAAAGATAATGTATTTTTACTATTTTAAAATATCTGCCATTTTTAGTAGGTCTTCTATCCATGAACTATGTATGTGATTGTTATGTATATGTTTTATAGTTCTACAATGATTATGGTGATATTATTAAAGCTACACTGAGTAAATCAAGAGAAATCAACAAAGTGATGACAGCTAAAACATTAGCTTTAAGTCTTACACAGGTAAATACTTTAATATTCCAAGAATTCGGTTGAATTTATTTCATTTGTATTTTAAGATTCTTATAAAATATATACTAAGGTAACTGTTTATATTATTTTTTGTCTGTATATTGATATTTTCATTGACTAGCATTCCATGCATTTCTAGACTATTAACCATTTAAACCTACAGAAAAATCCTTAAGGTATGAGGGATTTATAAAAATCAATTGTATATTTGTAGTTATATAAAGAGTTACAGAATGAACAAGGTGTTATAGAAAGGTCATCTGATGTCTTCCAATCAATCAAGGTTTGTTTAGGATTTTATTACTTTTAGCTACACATGGTCTTCAAGTGAGAGCTGATTTGTACATCTGTAAATAAGCTCTAAAGCTGAAGATTTAAGGCTTGATAGATAATTTATGTTGTCTGCTGATATTTTGTAGGAATTATCAAGAAGATTTGCCTTGTCATTTGGTTTGGATCAGGTGAAGAATAGAGAGGCTGTGGCAGCCATGCACAAGTAAGTGAATTTACATCTTTTATTTTTTTTTATACTGATTGTGACATAATAATCTCTATACATGTGTCTGTGTTGTATCAATATATAATAGTGTTCAATAAGGATAAACAAAGGCCCGTGCATTGGATAGATTTGATGCTTGTACAAGTCAAGTCACTGGATAAATTCAAAGGAAGAAACACTAGTGTATTAAAGAATATTATTGTTATATATTTTGTAGAGAAGGTATTATGTTCAGTGTACAAGCTAATGAAAGAGATCCTGAAGGTGTACCACCCAATTTACCTTTCTTAGAAGTACTGTGTGAATTTACCAATAAACTGATGAAACAAGACAAGAAAGTTGTGTAAGTACTTATTGAGCACCGTTATCTCTCCAAGCAAGAACTGACATGTAAGCTTATATGCAATTTGGGGCTCTTATTACTTCTATACAGGAACTCTGCAGGGTCTAACATGGTAAAGTGTTGTGACTTTTTGAAAGAGGAATGATAGAAAGAGGAAAGAAACAATAATATTTATCAAGGATAATAACTTGGCAAATCTCTTGGCATTGATCTTTCTTAGGTACCCATTTACAGCTGGGTGAACATGAATTATGAATATGAATATAGCTTTTTTAAGGTCATCAAACCTTAACACGCTGACCAAAATTAGAATCCACAACAACCATTACTTGTAAAGCATAGCAAAGCGAATGCGGTCATGTAAAGAACCAATGCTTTGACTATACTAATGAACCTCTCTGACCTCTTTAATGAGGTATTTTCAATGATGTATAAGATATGACTGATTGATATCTGCCTTGATTTGTGGTGACATCCATAGTTTGAATTGTATATTACAGGCTGGCCTATTTAGATAACCATATACCAGGTGGTTTAACAGGTGCTAGAGGTGAAGAATGGCAGCCCTATTATACCTATAGAAATAGTTTAACACAAGGAGAGGGAGAAATCAATCCTATTACATTAAAACAAGCTACACAGAAACGATTTGGGAAGAGGAAGGCTGATAGTAAGTTTACTTTATTTGTCAAGGTTTATAGTTGTCTTGTAAGTGCTCAATTTCACTTTCCTATAGAACTTTTTACAGAGAAAAACATATTGTTCCTTCAATGGAATCAAATTCTCCCAAAATGTTTCCCCTTCATGTTTTAGAAGAATTGGTGTTTGAGATTCTGTATGATTTTTTATGTAGCTTGACCGTCTGGAAAATAGTGCGGCACAGCCTTTTCATTATTACCTATGAAGAAAGCAGCATCATTTCCTGTATATTTATTGATAGGTTCAAAATTTGTTATGATTATTATTTTCAGCATTTGGTGAAGAATCTCTTGAAGCCAATACATATGAATCAATGCCAACACCAGCTAGTCATGTTGGTATGCCAATGCATCAATCTACAGCAGTAAAAAGACAGCGTATGATGGAGATGGAAGCTATGTCAGATCATGGTTCAGAACAAGATTTTGAAGACCAGTAAGCTAAACTATGTTGTGGTTTTAGTTTGGATGGTTTTCTTTTAGTTACTGTTGCTGTGTGCTTTTTCTTTTTCAAATCATTTTTGTTAAGTTTATTTCATTATTCTATTTAGTTTGGTGTAATGTATTAGTTTATTCAATCATTTAGGTCATATAATGACAAATGCATGTATCAGCCAAGATTTGTTTTTTTCAGAATAGAATTCTTGAAATTTTTGATTATTTTTGGCTTATTTTCTTTGTATTAAAACAAATTCCAGGAATTCTTTTCTAAATAATTCAATCTTGTCAGGAATAAAACTCATTTTTATAAATCATGTATTATTTTTATTCACCACATAATTATGGCACGAGACACATATATTTAGTAGATTCTTATAATGTGACTATCCATCATTTTCATTGAACAATCAGTAGGTAAACTCAGATGTTTTTATTGTTCAATGTTCACAATATATTCATTTTCCCCCATATGTATTGGGCCACACCAATTTTCGTGCCCCAACCCATTGTTCTGATTGAATCCTTATTCTTACCATAACATGATGTTTAAATTTATGAAATAAAGTTCTTTGTCTGCATGATAAAACACTTTTAAACCCTGTCTCTGGTACTGGTGTGAGGTGTTGATCACATAATTACATTTCAAAATCATTTATCATCAGAAAGTCAATTGAGCCATATGTAAAAGTGTAGATATAATTTGTCAAGCATCAAGATTTTGATTGGTAAACGACACTGAGATGGAAAGATATTTTGCATGTTAAGAGATAACCATGGTCACATCCATCACAGATTTAACCGAGTTTTATCTCAAAATTTACAATGAATAATATTAATGAAATATAATGTAGGTAGGTTTTATATGTCATCATCATTTTCATGGGTGCTATACTTACTTAGATAATCATTATATACATCTATTCTCATGTAACTAAAGATGTTTATGTTTTGCAATAAAACTTACAATTTGCATTTTGTTGTTTTGGTTGTGTTTCTTTTTCCCTTCTTTTTTTTTTTTATTAGAGTCTAATGAGCATGTTGTTTTATTTTGTTAATATTTCTGACACCTTTTTCCTCACAAGAAATAAAAAGCAGCTGTTCATGATTATTGGCTACAGAAAAATTCCACATTTGTGCTTTTATTTCATATTATGGAAATCTTTATGGAATAGCATCAAATTGGAAATGGGGAATATAAATAATTTGAGATAAGGACTAAAATCCAGCTTACTATTTCAATATGGCATTTGTGTTTGCAAGCTTGATATTGAAATCTCCTCAACAGTATGCAGTCTTCAACCTGTTGAACATAAATGAAATATACCCTGAACTCCCAAGAATTTTGTTTTAAGCATATGACATTATATGATATAACTATGTAACTACTGTTATCTTTTGGCTGGTTGAGTTGTTGCTAGTGTTGGAAGGATAAAAACATGTATATATAATATATACTTAACAGCAGTATTCATAATTGAAGGTTTAGATTAGATACATGTAAGTTTCAGATAAGCTTCATTAAAAAGGACTTAAATTTCAAAACTGAATGATCATGCTAAAATAGCTGATGATAAACACAAGTAATTTCAACCTATGACACCTGCCATCTTATTTTAGTGGTGGTATGTCACAAGCATCATGGTTAAATAGTCAACATAATAGAGCACAGATGCAAAGACAACAAGAAGCTAGTTATTCTCGACGTCAGATGCAGAATGTGTAAGTATTATTAATGACAGTGGTACTAGAAATCAATTTATAGCCTGTTAAAAAAACAACAATTATCTTCTTAAAACATTGCTAGTTTCCATTTAATTAAAAAAAAAAACAGTGCATCATGGTCTGAATGAATAACAAATATGAATCAAGAACAGAATGTAAATAATCCTTATAACTAAATGACTATCACATTGCATAGGTATAGTTACAATTTTTCACAAGACAGCCACTACTTTTATTGATTGTAGTGAATTGAATAGAAATTTCCCTTAGAAATATTATAACAGTATCTGAAACTTGTTACTTCAGACAACTGACCTATTTCTTATTGAAGTTTAAGAAGCATTACTTGTTCTCTGCATTTTCTTTTACTTTCTTTATATCACTACTATTGATGTATTGAGTGCTAATTGAACAGTGAAAATATTTTGTTTTTGTAACACTTCCCTAAATGCATGTTTTTCAGTCCACATCCACAAGAGAGCGGCAGTGAACAGAGTAGTATTGGAGAATTTGAGAGTCCTCAATCTGTTGGTCCCCCACAACACACAAGACATGGATATTATCAGGCTCAGATGGCACAACAACATCAACAACAACAACAACAACATCATCAAGGCCAGATGGCTGCTGCTCAACAAGGTCGTTATCAAAGATATTTTGAAGATAATTCTCCCTATATTGATGATGCTTCAGTGAGTTCAAACAAAACATTGCAATGTTAACTTCACTGTTCTGGTTACAAAATTTTTGAATTTGATTTTAGAAATATATCCAAAGAGTCATCAAAATACAATCTTTTGATTTAAATCTATGCCAAAACTAAAGAAATTTTCTATGTGAAAACAGTTTTAGGATTAGTTTTAAACCCTTAACCTCATGAAAACACAATCTATTTGGATATATTATGTTAATTTTTCATTTCTGTTACTTATTTTTTTAAATTCAATTTATAAAATAGGACCATCAACAAGTAACACTGGTCTCTGTAAGTATATAGCTATTATTTACAGGAATGATTATTTTCACTGATTTATTTGAACATTTTCTGCCCCGCCCTGATGTATTGTGTGGATCTATTTTATCTTATATTTATTTTCTTTTTCTTTGATGGTTAGGGCATGACCCACATTAGAAATCCTTGATATTCCTTATTTTTAAATATTTTAAATTGCTCTTCAAGTAATGTTAATGCCAGCTACTCTAGTCAATTAAATTATTATATTAAATACCAAGTTAAGATTTACATGTATATTTTATATTATAGAAAGTAAAAGAATCCCGTGCAACATGCAAATTTAATTTTCTGTTATAAAGATCCTTGGATATTGTGAAGTTTTGAAAGCTTATACTCATTAATTAACAAATCTAAAGTCATTGATGTCATAAGATGTCATTTATAATACTCTCAAATTTATAGTTTGGTATGTCAGTTGGTAAATGATCATTTAGCACTCATTATAGAGGCTTTTTTACTGTATTGTCTGGAGAATTCTAAAAACAATGGTGTAAGCTTTAAGCAACAGTTATTAAGATATTGTTTAATTTATGTTTCAGTCTGATGTTAGCAGTAAAAGAAGTTACTAGAAGTTAGATGTTCTTTTGTCTTTACATTGTAATCATGTTTTATTGTTAGTTCTTAATTTATTCATTCAAATTTTTGTTACATCTTCAACATTTTTATGCCGATGTGGAAGTTTATTGCTCTATACAAATTATGAGTGTTTTTGAACAATCTGAATCTGAAGAAACCTTTTTTTTATTCTCAATGTGATAAGTATCCTCCAACAGCAATCAGACCTCTGACAATTATTGAGTGGGCTATAGCATTGGTCAGATTGAAAGTACAAAAATATACTATTTACTTATTGGATCTTTATCATAGAATTCTACGCAAGATAACTCTGCTTAGATATGTCTAATGAAAATTTTGTGATTTGATGTTGTACTACTTCTTGTATTTTAATCAGATTGATAATAAAAATGAGATGACTAAAGAATCTAAAGCCATATATATGAAGAGTTGAGATATTGTTCAGTTTGTTTGTAAATTTCAGTATCATGTCATTGTTTTGTAATAATTTCACATCATAATAAAAGTATTTTAAAAACCTTATTTTCTTATGAAACCAATATGTTCTTCTGATAGTGAGTAGTAGTAATCACGTATCTTACTCCATAGCAAAATGAAAATTAGATTACTTCTTTTTCTCCATTGCTTTCAAGTTTATTTTAGCAGTTTAGCATCTTAATCACAGCAAACTGTTACTGTATCACTGGATTCAGAAACCCGGCCAAAAAACCCATGCGCATTTATAACAAGAAACTGAAATCATGGACCAAATACAGAAGAAAATACTTCGAAAGGGATCAATACTAATCATTCATAAACACAACTGCTCTGTTAAGTAGGGTATTCTTAATATAAAATGGTGCATTGCCCAACGTTATGGGCGAAATGACGACGTTCCGAAATGACCTCTTTCAACCAGAATAACGGTTTATACGGATATTTTTTTTATAAATGGACTCATTGAAAATAACCCATGCCGACTTGGCATTGAAATTGCGACACGAGAGCTTCCGGCTCTATTTAGATTTTGATTGGCTATTGCCTAAATGACGTAATGAAATATCACGGAATTCCCCTTATCATATCTTTACGATGTTTACCAGGAAAAACATTCTTTAACAATTTTAATCAGACAAAATGGGAAAAGTTACCTTAACGCAGGATTCGTACATTCGGAAGCTTCCATTTTCAGCTTACCGTAAATTGATAAACTTGTTAGATCCAGGGAGAGAATGGGAGAAAATGGCTGTGTTGGTGCCACGGGAAATAAACATGACAGCTGATAATTTTGAGCCAAGATATGATTTTGACCAAATTGCCAATTTTGCTGAAAGAGGTAGAAAACATAATGGAAGTGCTACAGAATCTATTTTAAGAGATTGGGGCACTCAGAACCCCACAATTCAGCATTTAATTAATGTATTTATGGAAGCAGAATTATTTGCCGCCGCAGATTATCTGTCAGTTCAAATTCTTGGTGGTAGTCCAGTTCCAAGACCACATACAGATTTCATGTCTGTTGAAAATAATCTTGGAAGACCTCACAGGAAAGTTGTAGAAGATGATGAAGATTTAATGTTAGATGGAGTTAATCTTCCCAAGCCAAACAGTAGTAAAGCATCTGATAATGAGGAGATGAAGAAGTCACCAACAGCTGTAGAAAAACAAACAGCTGAAACAGGCAAGTCAAGATCAACTCAAAAACACTAATCCAAGATCTCATTAGACATAAGCATACCAAGTTCATGAAAATTGAATCAAACTATTAACTCTGTCATGCTCATAAGCAATAATTTTCCATGTTAAAAAAGTTCAGAAATGACTGGTCAGAGAGCCAGTTACTATATTGCCTGTTTTTCTCATCTTCATTTATGTATTTATTTGATATTGTAGGTAATACTGTTGTAAATTGGTATGAAGACTATACAAGTGAAGCTGGGTCTGAAGGGTTAGAAGGAGAACAAGATTTGGATGCATGTAAATCACAGGATACATTGAGTAGTGTACTACGTGATCATAATATTGTCTTAAGACATGTCAGCTACTCTACCTTAAAATCCATAACTAATAATTTTAATGAAGAGGAAGCTATCAAGGGAGGTAATTTGCTAGGAAAGGGTGGATTTGGTCTTGTATTTTTAGGGAAATTTCAATCCAACTTTTCAGTTGCAGTAAAGCAATTGAAAAAAGACAGCCAGGACATTGATGTTGAAAAACAATTTAATACAGAACGCCATTATCTGACAAAGTACAGACAAGATAATCTTGTTCAATTATTAGGCTTCTCACATGATGGACCTTACAATTGTCTCATTTATCAGTTAATGACAAATGGTTCTTTAGAAGATAGACTAATGTGTAAAGATGGTACTTCCCCTTTAACATCATCACAGAGAGTTATTATAGTGAAAGGTACAGCCGAGGGAATAGCTTTCTTAAATAATCATGGCCTTGTACATAGAGACATTAAAAGTGCTAATGTATTACTAGATGAGAAATTCTTACCCAAAATTGCTGATTTTGCTACGACACGTTCTGCCCCACAAGGTAGTGGTTTAAGTAAAGTACAACAAACATCATGTGTAATAGGAACATCAGCATATTTGGCACCTGAAGCTTTTCAATATGATGTGTCTACTAAATTAGACTCGTTTAGTTTTGGTGTGGTTTTATATGAAATTCTGACTGGTCTACCAGCCTATGATGATCAGCGGGAAGAGAAAGACCTCAAGACACATATGGATGAAAATTGTGAACAGATTGTTGATATGTTAGATATTAGTGGTGGTGAATGGGATGAAAAAGCTGTCAATGTTATTTACGATGTAGCTGTTCAATGTGTACAAAATAAAAGACGTAGACCAGTGGTGTCTGATCTTCTAGAAGATTTGAGAAAGTTATAAAGTACAGAAATGAAACTAGTATGAGCTCAACATTACAACTTGTTATTATTTTTATTGTTATGTATGTATATATAAGGAGGATGGATTGCATAATTCTTTTGAATTAGCTTTATGCATTTGTTAAACTATGACAAAAATTGTTTTTATTTCAATTCAGATGTAAATATCAGATTCAGCAATCAATAATGGCATACATATATCTCGTTAATTGTAAAATTAAAATCATATCAATTGAATTTGTGTGTTTTTTTAATATTCACTTATGATTCAACTCTACACTCCTTTATATTATTATGTCATCCTGTCAAAATAACATCCACAGGTATAATTTGCTGCCTACTTTCATTTCTGATCAAACCATAAATCAATTGAATGCTATCTTGTCAGTTGTTGATCTTTCAAAAACACCAATAACCTATCAGACATAGACGAAAGCCTATAAAAAATAAATATTTTGTTTCAACTAAAAACAGTAAACTTTATTGCACAAAAAAGACTACACATATTAGACTGAACATTTGATGGATTATAACAAGTATCATTATTTCAACAGAAGGCCTACTTTTCATTCATATGAGATGAGCTGACACAAATACACGTAGATCTCATAATAAGGTTACATAAATACATACAGAGACTTTAAGCTTATGGAATGTCAAAATTATGAATCTTTCCTTCAAAGAACTAAGGAAGTTTTTTTTATTAGAGACCTTCATTATTTTAACCAATAAGATTTAGCACTTGATGAGAATATTCATGAGATCATTATCAGGTTAACAATACATATTAACTTTCAGCTACTCTAATGACTTAGTTTAGATAGTTTGGTAAACTGTAGTAAGTTATAATCAACATAAGTACAATATTTCCGTGATAAGTTAGGAATGTAAAATGCTCGGAAGAAACGATGAGATCTGAAAGAGAGAATGATTTAAATAATAAGACAAATTAACACAATCCATTAAAGCAATAGACCTACAGCTTTTCCTCTTGATAACCATTTTCACTTCACTCATAGTAAGTTATGGGGAACTATGGGTGTTCACAGAAAGCTGGGCAAAAAGGTTTGTAACCATAAAAATATCTAGTAAAGGGTAAAAATAATAGTAGAATCTAGAAAGGGTATAGATTAATAACATACCTAGTAGTATCTAGAAATGGTATAGATTAATAACATACCTAGTAGAATCTAGAAATGGTATAGATTAATAACATACCTAGTAGAATCTAGAAATGGTATAGATTAATAACATACCTAGTAGAATCTAGAAATGGTATAGATTAATAACATACCTAGTAGAATCTAGAAATGGTATAGATTAATAACATACCTAGTAGAATCTAGAAATGGTATAGATTAATAACATACCTAGTAGAATCTAGAAATGGTATAGATAGTAATGTTTTCCAATGATATGATCCTGTATATTGATGGTCTGGTGAAACAGATGACAGATCTAAATCTATTATATAATGACACTTTTTAACATCAAACTGAAATTACAAAATTCGATATTTGGTATAAATTCTTTATATAGTCACCAAAGGCTGTATGTTAGAGAGGACCATGCCACTTTGGTGTATTGCACCTTATTCTGACCCATGTAAAATAGAGTTATAATTATAATATACCTGAATTTGTGGGATTATTTGACCTAAATCCCAAAAACAATTCCCTAATATACTTACATATCTACTTTCTTCTTCTAAATTCATATCATTCATATCAGTAGGTATAATTTTAGTGCCATTTATACTGCTATCATATTCTTTTGGTAATTGACCACCAAAATCAGATTTTAAAAATCGTAAATGCCAACTGTAAGACAAGTAATTATAATATTTGGAACTGATTCATCCTTAGATTTAAAGTGATCAACTTCAAAATTTTATTTCACTAGGCTTGGAAAGTCACATTATTTCAAATAGCTTACTGATGATAGCTATTGCTCTAAAAATATACACAGCTATTCATGTAAATCAAATAAAGAATCTTGTAGAATGTTTGATGTATTTTCAGCAAAGAGACAATGATTATTTATACTTAATACATGTATTAACAAATAATACTTAGCCTACTTCTTATCTGGTAGAAAGAAAGAGCTAGGGAATCTATACCATTCTTTACCAACACAGATATTTACTACTTTATTAAAAGACATTGTATGTATTTTGTTATCTTTAGATATACGATTTAACTGCATATAGATGTCCATAGATCCATGATAACCTGAAGAAATTAACAAATAAATTTTTATAAAACCCATGGTAAAATGACCATTCAGAGTGAACACCTGTCATGTTTCCCAAGTGTTAGCTATTTGTATTATCAAATTCAGTTTGAACTTTAAAGCTTAAGACTGTAGAAGAGCAGTAAATAATCTTACCTTGATATAATGCTAGTATACGGAATGCTGATAATAATGTAAATACACAACCGATTGATAACGGTATCCAATTAGAATATTCACTATATTTCATACCAGATCCTTTACTAAATATTGAACAGTATAATCTCTACAATATAATTTATAAATTGTTATTTCATTATGCTTCTTATAAACCATTATAATTATCAACAATTAAATTTGAACACCACATCATAATAATGAGAGGATATAGAAATAATAGTTTAAAACCAAGGAACTGTATCTTATAGAAAGAAAAAGTCTAACCTGTATCTGATCAACACATAAAGCACCAGCCAGAGCAAAGAATGGGTAAATAGGAAATAAAAATCTTTCTTCCTGAAATAAACATCAAATACTTCAACTTTTCATTTTCAATTCAGGTTTATATTAAAATAATGTGTCTCTTTTTAAATTTTATGTATTTTTACATTAACTGTCCATTAGAAACATTAAAACAGAACCTGAAACATGTACATTGATCAGAATTTCAGGCTGTGTAAAATGTTGTTTAAACTAATAGATCAAAATATTACCTTATGAGGAGTGGAAAAGAAAATCAATAGCCATAAATACATTGGTGATAATGCTAATGGTACAGGAATTTCTGAAACAGATATTAATTGTATCATAAAACTAGTCCTTATTTCTGTTTTAGGAAAAGCAATATGATATACAATAAAACTTTTTCCAGTATCTTAAAGTATATCATGTGATGTAGGTCATATTAAGCAATCATGTATTCAGTTGGATTCTAACAAAAGTAATTTTCTGTGACAATTTGATGAGTAGATCCCAACATCATATTTGTGATATATATATTAAAGTGTGAAGAATTTATATACACATACAAGTTATTCATGGTGCCCAGAAATATATCATATACAGTAATTAAGAAAATTATAGTAATATACAAAACAAATCTGTTAAAATTCATAGTATATAAATATACACTCACTTGCTCCTGAATTATTCAATAAAATTTGAACTATGACCTGAAATAAATATAAAATTTGCTGTAAAAATTGGAGTTACTCATTGATTCATTATAAGATTAGATCTGAGGCTTATGGAACGGAGGAAAGCTTCAAGCTTTAATGTAGGCCTACAGCTAGAGCAACTGCTATTCATAAGGAATCAGCATTATATTTCTGATTTTTGCCCCAGAAGGTAGATATAAAATGATAATTCAGGGTCCAGAAATATTAGAACTTAAACATGTTCATGTTCATGCGGTGTGATCTCCAGCTAACTGACCTATTTCAGTGTAAGTACCGAAAGTCAGTACCTAAAGAAGTACTTGTTTTGGTGCCTCCAATTGAGACAAGTTCAGATTGCTTGTTTGTGCTACTCTCACTAATCAGGAGTGAGTAGTACTAATAAATGATGAAATGTATACTTACTACAACAGGAAGAGAAACTAATGCTGCTAGAAATACTACGTTAAAGTTTAAAAAACCATTGATAACATAGTAAGATACAGGCTCAACACCTAAAAAAAAACATGAGATTAATTACTACTGAGTTAAGATCAGCTTGCGTGTCATTATATTACAGTCAAGTAACCTAATTTCGTGGAAACCTATTATTCATGGATTTTCTGGAAATGATTAATAATTTACATGAGCGACCTTGCGCGACCTCCGCATTTGCTTGTTTTGATAAACATGGGTTTTCTCTACAATATCAGCTAGTAGAATGAATTCAGTAGTTTCAAGCAAGGTAAAATGTATTAATGTATACTTTGACAAATACAAAATGGCGGATTTCAGTTATTACCAGACGTCACCATTTTATATCGGCCGAATTTCCTTATAATCCCGTAATTGGAATTCCAAGTGTCGTCTACTAGAATGTAGTCCAACGAATGAAGTCACGTGATCAACTAGCGGATTCCGTGTCAGCAGAAAATTTCTATGGAACACAAAGTGGAGCATATTCTTATGTCGTTTCAGTGACTTTTAGCAATAAATCACGCTACATATCTTATTTTGTCAGTCACTATTTTTATTTTAAATCGTGGTTCTTTGAAGGAATTGTCACTAGTTATAATGAATTGATATTAAAGATAAATACTAAGAGAAGTTAATTATACCACCCGGTATCCATATAACGTGTTTTTCTAGACTTACTTACCAAACATTATACACGAAAATAGGTGAGGCATTCTGTCGCCGAGTTGGTTGCTCATGAAATATGGGTCAAAGTGAAGGATTCATAAAGAGAATCGAAATAAACAAATTTTAATTATTTTGTAGGATATCTGAGGAAACATGTAAGACATACAAAAAAAATTTCATTTTTTTAACTTTGACAAAATTTGGTGTTGAATCCTTATAACCACGAAAATAGGTTACACCACTGTATATTCATAGGCTTAGCCATTAAAATGAAGAAATTGTGAAAATCAATCTCATATAACATTGACAATATCATTAAGTATACCAAGTTTCGTATAAATCTGAGATTATTTTTTTCACATTATAATGTGGACATATAGAAATAGAAAGTATAGTAACAAATTTACCATATAAATCAGGACCATGTGGACTAAAAACATTATATAAAACTATGTTGAGGGGAGCAATAACTAATTTACCATAATACTGACTATCTATAATAACCATAGGTACCTATAATAGAAATAGCCAACTAGCAATAATTCAACGAAAGTTTGGTCTTATCTTAATTAGACTGCAATGTGATATTCTAAAAACTCAGTTAATTCAACTTGTGTCGTAAGTTTATCAAACCAATTTTTTTTAACACTATTTGAACAGAAAATAAAACTCATGTTTTTGTTTTATTCTAAATAATGCAGATATTCTTTAGAGAAATGTGTTTTAATTCTTGTATTTTAAGGTGTGGCTCATTAATCAGTATAAGACAAGTAACTATAATAAAATAATAAATAAACTCACTAAAAACACAATTAAAGAGATTAAACTCCATCCAATAAATACCAACAGTTTCTTCTGTCTTATAATAATATCTAAGGCTATTGGTAACCTATAAAACAATAGAAACAATTAATATGGTTTTACAGTTATATAAAATATATTGTTCTTTCTTCTATATAATGTATTACATTAACTTTAATGAAAATAATTGTATTGAAATTCTGTGTGTTATCTGACAAGGAAAGTGGAGAGAAATGTTTGATAGCCATGGTAGAAGTACATCTAGTATACACAGACAACGTTCAGGTTACTGCTAATAAGCATGTCAGTGCTGTCAGTTGTTTTCTGCAATCACCTTGGTCACTAGATGTATTCAAAAGAATGTGTCTGGACAACTACAGGTGCATGCAGATATAAACATAAATATTTACCCTAAAACACCAACAAATGGCCATCCTATTATGGCACTTGCTGCTGTTGCTAATATTGCAACCTGTAAAACAATATGGATACTTTTCAATTTGCTTCAAAAAATCTGTTCACATAGTATTGTAGAATGTACTATGAGCTTTTACAGACACACAATTTGTTACAAAGAGCAGTCTAAGACATTTTTTTAAATGTTGTCTTGTTTTCGCAATTGTCAGTTAAAAAACATAACTGTTGTATTCTATAGCCTGATTGATAGGGATGAGTTACTTAAGAATTTTTTACCTTTATATTTCCATTGAACCATGCACCCATAGATAGAAATGTTAAATACATAGAAAAACTACTTGGTAAGAAGGCTGGTGTAGCTACAAACATACCCGCACTAAATAATGAAAACCATTGAGTAATGCGATTAGTATTAATACCAAACTGCTTTGAAACTCCCCTAAAAAAAATGAAATATGGCAATCAGATTATCTTAGAAGAAGAAACAAGATTTCTTGGAAAATTCATGTATACTTTCAAAGACTTTCAATGTTGCTTACAATGACATATTCATATTTTTGTCCTACAAAACTGTGTAAAATAAAGTCCTATCTACAAAGGCCTACACTTTAACACCATTTACAGCAATAGTCGCAGGTGTCCAATGTTTATAACAAAACTATCCCCTCCCCCCTTTTTTTTAGAAAACACTTTATGTAATGGGACAAACATTGTGATTTTATGCTTTATGAATTTCAATACTTACTTATAAAAATATATTTCACAAGAAGAACAGGCAAGAGCTAATACTATTCTTACCACATAAAACTGTATGATCTGAAATAAAAATAGTAAAATATTATTATAATTCAAAAAAACCCACATGTATAAGAGTCTTACATTTTTAAATATTGTATTCAAAACCTTGTACATACCTTATTTTCTGTTACCAATGTATTTACTAGTCTAATAGGAAGAGTATGTAGTATAATGTAAAAATAAGATCTTATAGCATAAAATGGTGAATATTCCCATGTCTGGAAACCTTTATTATACACCAAATAGTGTGCCTAAAAAAAACAATCCATTTTAAATATTTTGTTCCTTTTGTTTAAACACTTTAATTTTAAGTAGTAGTTCATATGGATTACTAAATTTTTACAATCATCAAAATTTTTAATATTTCACATACATGGATCGTAAAATAAACAAAATGGTTCTTAAATCTGAAGATTTTCTTCACAATTGATGTATTTTAAAAACAGTACTGTTAGATGTAGCTAGGGATATCAGAAGCTGGTTAAGATAATTAAATAAGTAAGTTTCAGAACATGATTAAAGATTATGTTACTAACCGGTTCCCAGTAATTATATACTTCATCACAATCACTGATAGTATTCCAAATAGCAGAACTTAGTCTTATTATAATTATAAATGACATTCCTATGAATGGTGAATTGTCATGTTTACTACTACTCTTACTTTTGGAAGAACTGAAATTATTACATTCACAAAAATAACTTTTCATTTTCATCATTGAAATGTGAGAGAGTCGTACAAATTCCTACAATAGTCAACATCCTGGTACACAGCCACAGACCTCTATGAGTGAACATTACTTTGACGCAAGAAAAATTATGTCTAGATCGCATTTTACAACATTTTTTGTAAATGCAATTTTATGTATGAATGAAATATTATCTTGTGCTGTGGTAAATATCCAATGCCAAATAAAAATTTTCACATATTTGAGATTTACATCTACTCTCTGACTTCATTGTTTTCTGAATTGAATTTTGGTATGAATTAAATTCCAAAATACTACTGAGTGTCTTAGATTGTCTTTGGGTTGATGAAAATGTAAACCAGTTTTTATTTGATTCTACAGAGGAGAATTTTTAAATATATAATCACTGAACCTTATTTTTCCATGGACCAAAAGACAAATGGCATACAGTTGAAAATCTTATTTTGAATATCTATGAAATGAGAGAAAAATTTTAATTCAAGCTCAATGTAATTATTTCACTGGTTGATAGTATTAACAACCCAAAAACAATCTGGGACAATCAGAAGTAATTTGAAAATGATTATTCAATTCAAGTATGATTGGTCATGTGCGATTGTGTAAAAACATTTTATTGTGTGTTGTAGAGGGGCCTAATCGATCACACGAAATGTTCCATATACAGTGACAATATCTTTTCTATGGGAAAGGTGAAATAACAAAACAAATGAGAAAATAAAAATTAAGTTTCAACCTTTGGGAACTTAATATATTAGTTTGTTTTGGATGTTTATTTACAGTTCTTTTCTTCATGGAGGCTGCCATCTTGGAAAACCTCCGTTAAAATTACAGAACGTAAAAAAAAAAAAAGAAGCGAAAATTATTCAGTGTCATCAAAGTCAAGTTTGATATAGAAATTTACCAAAATTATATATTTGGTAAGTATTTAATTAAATATAAAATATATTCATTTAATTACAACTTACTACAAACAGCAAATAGGAATTTTCGTTTGTTGCTATTCAAAAATAAGTCTCAATATTTGTTGTTAAAATTATTTTCATTCCATGCCAACACCATAGAGTTAATATAACTCTACTCTATGGCCAACACTGATCAAGCTTATAAGACAACCAGGCTGAACTTAGTCTACACCATAGAGTTATAATAACTCTATGGTCTACACATTCAACTAGCATACAGATTCAGGTCGTCTCAGCATACACATTCGCGGCAAATCGACCGGATATGAAATCTGAATTATTTCTAACTTGAATATTGTTAAATTAAAATAACTTAAAATTTTTTAAGACAAATACACATAAGAATTCTTTCAATTTCGCAAACACCTATATGTCTAACTCTCTTAGTCTTTGTACTGTGGCCCATATAAGACATAATTTTTTTCTATGGAAGCTGAAACTTACCAAAGTTAAACAGGAAATTAAAAGGCTTAGCCGTCATAGAAACTTTTTGAAATTCATACCATACTATCTTACACTTGTCATTATTCGAAATATCCAATCACCAAATTGCTGTCTCCCTTACTTTTCGTACGGAGGCCCATTGAAGACATACACTAATCGAAATATATGGCATATATGAGTATATTACTCAGAGTTTACGGGCAATTTGCAAGGAGTACAAAAAGTAAGGGAGACAGCAACTTGGTGATTTGATATTTCGAATGAGGACTAGTGTGAGATAGTATGGTATGAATTTCAAAAAGTTTCTATGACGGCTTAGCCTCGCATTGCCCGTAAACTCTTAGTATTATTCTACATAGGCCATATATATATATCGATTAGTATATATGTATTTAATGTGCTTCCGTACACAAAGTAAGCAAGACAACAACTTTGTAATTTGATATTTGGAATGGGGACTAGTGTGAGATAGTATGGTATGAATTTCAAAAGGTTTCTATGACGGCTAAGCCTCGCAAATTACCTGTAAACTCTGAGTAATATTCTGATATAGGTCATTTATATGTCGATTGGTGTACCGGTATGTCTTTAATGGTCCTCCGTACAAAAAGTAAGGGAGACAGCAACTTGGTGATTTGATATTTCGAATCAGGACTAGATAGGAGTTAGTGGTATGAATTTCAAAGGATTCTATGTCGGCTAAGCCTCGTAAATTGTCCGTAAACTCTGGGTATTATTTTACATTGGCCATATATAAATCAATTTGTGTATGTCTTTAATGGGACTTCGTACAAAAAGTAAGGTGACAGCAACTTAGTGATTTGATATTTCGAATGAGGACCAGTATGAGATAGTATGGTATGGAATTCAAAATGTTCCTATGATGGCTAAGACTCGCAAATTGCCCGTAAACTCTGGTTATATATATATATATATATATATGTCGATTGGTGTATGTCTTTAATGGTCTTCCGTATAAAAAGTAAGGGAGACATCAACTTGGTGATTTGATATTTCGAATGAGGACTAGTGTGAGATAGTATGGTATGAATAGCAATAAGTTCCTATGATGGCTAAGCCTCTTAAATTGTCCGTAAACTCTGAGTATTATTCTACATAGGCCTATGTATGTCGATTAGTGTATGTCTTTAAAGGGCCTCCGTACAAAAAGTATGGAAGACAGCAACTTAGTGATTTGATATTTAGACTGAGGACTAGTGTGAAATAGTATGGTGAGAAAAAGACTTTGCATTTATTTACAACGTTTGTGGCAAACCTGTCATCATAGGCAATTCTTTGAATAAAAATATTGTCATCTATTGCAATTGTTTTTACAACAAAATCAGAATATTGAATATGTGTAGCATGTATCTGGATTTGTACTTGAGCATAATACTGATGATTCTTGTCGAGACTGACATGTCCATTATTTGATTATTTCAAATAAGACTGATCTGAGCCTGCAATTTGTTTAATAGTGTCATTTTTAAATTTTTCTGGATTTTTAACCTCCAAACAACCCAATCCACAACAATCACAATAAATCATACCGTCTGGTGTGGCTGCTAACCAAGGATTTTCCATGCAAATATAAAGCCCTGTGCTTTGAACCTTTAAATTTTGGTGTTTACTCTTAATATTTTTTTCATATTCTGTAATTGCTGGTAATTCCCTTTCTCTGCCCCACTTCAAAGGTTTTACATTGGCTGGTGCACTTTTGTAATTGCTACTATAGAATTATTCTTGTCTGAAACTTGTTCATTTTCGTTTACTTTTCTGTAACACTCATGTGCTACAGATACAGTGATGCGTCCAATTCGGTTATCAAACCATATTTTTGGTTTAGCCTGTGTACAGGTTTGACGCGCAACATAGTCAGTACATTGTTTTGTTGTTGAATCTTTAAGTTTTCACAAAATCACTTGCATTAATGTTTTCCTTTGATTCTAAAATTTCGTTAGCAAGAACACGTATGGTTTTAGCGACAGTTTCAACTTCCTCTTCCATGTAAATATTTTCAATATCAGGATTAACAGCATTTTGCTGGAGAATATAAAAGTACACCCCAATTTCCATTTGTTATCTCTCTTAGCCTATTTAAGTGTTTTTTCCTTGCGGTAGCAGAATGCTCTGAGTTCAAATGTCAATCAAGACTTTTTTCCACGAGTTTGAAAATCTTCTTGAGTAGTATCAAATCTACCTGTAACCCTTTTCACAAGATTTCTTACAAAGTCAGCTTGTTAAACCCTTTTACCTTGAATATGTGGTTTGCTTGGGATGTACATGCTTTGTTGCATCCAGACTCTATTTGCCTAACAATAAAGTGCAACAAGGCCATGCAATGTTTCCAATATCTTCGTAGACCTGCTGGACAATTGCAGTAAGCTCTTTCCACTTTCCCCCGTTCTCTTCTGAAAGACTGTCCATACACTATATGATGCTTGTGTCTGTGCCTTTTGTCGAGCAACAATAGCGTTTACATAGCAGTAAGATATATTTGGACTGATTCAATGGTATTCAACTTGTTGTCCAGATAAGTATTAACTTTCTCCTTCTTTTGTTGATTTTTATCCTTTCGTCGGGACATTATGGATCTCTGCACCTGTAAAATTAATTCAGTTTATACATATACATGTATAATACATCTTAGAGTAGTTTATTGAGGAAACAAATCACAAACTTGCATGAGTGTAAACTAGACACACCTGCTTTGTTCTTTATTGATATGTTTGCACACAAGACAAGCCAAGAGGCGGGACCTATTTATACGAGGTGAATCAATCTACCGAAGTGATTGATTGCTTAATACCCCAGTCCCCAATCATGTTAATCAGGTAAGCAAAACACTGTCAATTACTGTAGGCATTTTGTAACTCACATGAGTGCTCTTTGGAGCAACACACGTTTTGTTAATTGCCAGTTCATACATTTTGTTTTAACTTAAACATAAATAATTGTGAAGTCTATTCTACTTGACTAGAATGAATAGAATCATGATAAAATAATAATGAAATCTATCTGTTTAAGGTTGTGAAATTAGGCTCAGTCTCCAGAGTCTGATATCAGTAGGCCTACTACAGTAATAAATACTTACAGTTTTATATAATCTTCTACATCTGAGACTGATGTATTCGGAAAATTTATGTAGTTTTACTCCCACCCAGCTAATATTTTTACAGGATCAGGAAGCTTAATCAAACCATCTTCCAAAATAAATTTACTCTTTCTTTCTTCTATCACTTTCTGGAGATCATCTTCAATAGGAGTTTTAAGCAGAATATTTCTGCTCTCGGCAATAGATGCTAGCACATGTCTATCTTCCTTATTTCTACTGGCGTATGGGATTCCCCGGCCTTATAGAAAAACGCCCAATTCATCTCGCTTCAACACAGCTACGTCTTTCTTATTGCTCATTACTCTACTCCATGTCTGTTTACAATATTGTGGAACTCTAAGGACTCTTACTATCCCACAATGCAACGCAATTTTATGCGCGAACAACTAGAC